AAATGTGTTTTAAAGTAAAAGCACAAAAAGTGGCAGTAGCTATGTATTTAAGAGAGTTGAAATAAAGTCTAAGTTTGTAATTTAGCGCAATAGAAGTAGGCAAAATTGTCGCTTGTAATAGTGAAGATGAGCTTAAACAATGAATTCGACATACAAGAACAATAGAAACTTTGCACTTGGCATGGAAAAAATTAAGTAATYAATTGACCCAATTTGGCCTGATTGAATACAATTGCATCAAAATTAGCTCCTTAATGTGAATAATTGCTAAATACATGCTTCCAGATGGTAATTGGACCAATGATGTTCCGGTGATAAGTCGGATCCTTTTTGTGGTTATAAAAAGGTCTCTCTTAGATAGCATGTGATATAAGGTACATGGGAATAAGTGATATAATACCTAACAAATTTACCGACTTCCTTTCAAGATCAAAGTCCACTAGAGAGTCCACACTGCTTGGAACAGTCGCGAAAAAGTGCATTAGCAGTTATATTTTTTGTTTTGTTTTGTTTTTTTGAATCACAATTTTTTTCCTGTCACTTTATTATACTGAATTACATGAAGCCCCAAAAAAACAGCTCAGCGTATAATCATTCACGTGACCATTTTGAGTGATTGATCACGTGACATCGAATGTCTTAAAAAGAACAAAGACTGAAAAAGGCTGATGRAAACGTTTAGTTGCAAGAAAAAATATGAAACGATCAATCAACCGAGCTCCCGGCARCAGTATAGTCAGAGCACCCAAGTAAACATTGAAGTTTTATGATTGAACTCCAACTATAACKAGGGATTTCAAGTACAAGCAATCAGTTCAAGTCCGTGACGCAACCGAACCTTGGATATGTGTTCCAAAGGTAGCGTAATCATTGGAAWTATGGAACGTAATTCATACCTGCTGCTGTTCACGAAGTGTCTTCATAGTCTCTTCCTTCTTAGAAATCGCTTGTTTGACTCTACAAGTAAAAAACATCACATTGATGTTATCATTTATAAACTCTATCATTTGACAGTGACATCATCATATAGATAAGCCATCTTATGAATCGCTGTAGGTGGATCATCATTTCGGATGTTTGATGATCGACTTATAACTTTGCCTTCCTTCAAGCAATTGATGYTAAACTTGAACGACCTCTAAAGCAATCATTTACCTACACTATGATCTATTACGATTGCATTTTGTGCAAGTAATTAGTGATGTGTTGTTTRTAGAACGAGAATGCGAGTTTTATACGTACTCGAGTTCTACAAACGACTTCTAGAACTCCAACATTCAGAAATTGTTATCATTTTAGAAAAAAGCTAAAAATGCGAAAACAGTGATAATGCATATTGAACTTCTAATGAGCATGTGCATTGTRCCACTATTGAAAGGATTTTGATCCCACACGAAAGAACGGCTAGTCTAGCTATAGTKCRTGTCGGCACATWGATTCAAACTGATTTAAAACCTAGCAAAGGTCTATGATGCGACATTTAAAACTGAGACCTTTGCTAATGTTGGGTTGCGATAAAGCGCTGATGAACTTGATAAGTTCTTTATATCTGATATAGAACTGATTATTAAAAAACCCATACATAATTAATGAGCTACTAGGCCAATAGAATGAGCCTATTTGGTCACATGCATGGACCTTTATATCTGATAAAACACTCCTTATTAGTATTCTTTATATAAAGAATACTATTCTTTATATAAAGAATACTAATAAGGGTGACCTTTATCAGATATAAAGGTCCATGACCCTAGCAAAGGTCTCAGGTTTGAAACCTGATCATTGACCAATGCAGGATGTCAACCGATTTCATTGAACAGCCAAGAGCGATTCTATTTTACTTTATGCGTATTCAATGTGGGATGACAAGAGTGCTTTGTAAAGTGATTCGCGCATGATCAGTTTGCCCCATTTATCTCTGAATATATTTGTACGGCAATTTCTCCAAGAATTTTAACGGATTTGAGTTTCAAATTAGTGTTGGAGTTTTTTAAGCCGTTTAAAACACTCGAGATCGTGTTTTATCAGGTATAAATTCGGCTCGAAAACATCAGTTCTATATATCTGATATAGAACTGATAAATAAAACATCAGTACTTTATCGGATATAAAGGCCCATCATGGGACCCAATAGTTCGATGCTCATTGGACTAATAGCTCATAAATTATTAATGAGTTCTAGAACTACAGTTAGTTATTTTCACAAAAACTCGATTTTTCAGWCAATTGGTACGTCTTATTAGAACGATTTCACATAACCGGATAAAARATGCTAATGAGAATCAATTTATGCTAATACACATTACACGATTTTAAACGAGGAAAAACAAGGATATTGATGAACGCTTTACTTTTTTGACGTACAAATATGTTGACGTTAATTCTKTTTATCTGTAWYATGTCTAAAACGACAACAAAAGCATCAAAAATTGCACAAATAAAACATTTGTTTGCTTTTACAAGCATTCCAACGTGCACACAGAACAACACTTCGTGAGCGAAAAAAAAAATCAAAACATTTTTGTATCTAGTTTTTGCAAACATGGACAACAACTTGATACAAGCCATTCTCATCGTGCAATGTGTATTAGCATAAATTGATCCTCATTAGCATTTTTATCCGGTTATGTGAAATCGTTCTATTGTGATGAAACATAAGTCACAATCTGAATTTGTTAAGTGAAGGGAAAAATTTCATTCGCCTTTTCATCCTGATGGATTTGAGAATTAGATTCTCCTTGAACSACCAAACTCGTAAGTGGCCTTAAGCGACCACCATATGGATTACCCGTTTGATTTCCCATATCTGCTGTAATAAAAAGCTATCTCGTAATCGACCAGACTAACAAGCGACCGCGACCACCTGCGTTGCTAAATGTTTCGATATGTTCGTTTTTCTCACTCTTCCGYATGTTATCATCATCAGATGTCTTTCAGAATACAAAGAAAGAAAGCTTAGCAGCTTGAGTAATTGGAGTAAAGGCCTGTTTATTTCTTAAATAGTTAAGGAGAGCTTGCTACAACAGATCGCTCACATTCATGGTTAAGGGATTCATCTAACCTTTGGTGGAGCTGATCCATTTCTTTTTCCTTTTCAGAAGTAATTCTATCAACCTCTAGTCTGTGTCTTGCTCTCATCTCACTGACTTCAGTCTTTAATCGTTTGTTGTCTTCCTCGGTAGCAACCAACCTTTAACGCCAGATACATTTAAGCATTTAGCGGAAAATACACTTTAACATCTTTGAATCTGTCAGGCTTTAATTAGTATAGTTATAAACATCGCCCATTAGTATAGTTATAAACATCGCCCATTCAGGGAATGGCATCGGAGGATTGTCAACGTTAGGCCCCAACGCTGCTACCGTCAAAATTCATTTTGTCATAAACAATACTTCAAGTGTAAAAAATACTCATGCGCTTTGTACGCTGTATATATAGCTATTTCAAAAAAGGTAGTCTGAGTGAAGGGTGAACAGTCAACATATAACAGTCACAATCATATAATACCTATCAGCAAATTCTTGTCTTATAATATCGGCAACCTTTCCACGCTCCTCCTGAAGTTTCTCCAATACCCTCTCGACATCCTCCTTCTGCTTGGTAATCTGGTTTACTTGACTTCGCAGCCTCGTAACCTCACCCTCTACTTCTAATAACCGTTCCTACAGATCACGTTACAAATAAATATTATAAGTATAACACAGATTGCAATTGGTCAGATAAATCATATATAACAAGTACAGATTGKTTGAGATGTAAAATGCAGGAGATACAACGAGTGCGSTGATTGGMTGAGAACTACCTTGGTTGAGTTGTATTTAGCTTGCATGTTTGCTTCTGATTTCTCGAGTTCCTTTATTTCAGATTCATACTTGTTTCGTATACGTCTACAATAGCAATAAACAAACAAAAACATAATATACAAATCAGCATCGAATACTATAAAAATATCATCATTATGTAGATCAGCAATAAAATTAATTTGTAAATATACAAGAAAATGCCATCTCGAGAGGCATGGCCTATGCGTGTCTTTCCTTAAATTGTAAATATACAAGAAAATGTCATATTGCGTGAAAAGTGAAAATTAATAAAAATAAAAAATAAAAAAAAAGATCAGCAGTAAAAACTCGCAAGGTAAGTTAGCTGTTGACGAAGTGTGGAAAACAAGCGACCAGGTGAGAAGCGTTAGGAGTAAGAGCAAGTTTAAAAAAGTCTCAAATCAGATAGAATCCCCTTAATGTTTCTTACTTAATTCTGTTTTCAGCAGCTCTTTCACACTCTTCTCGAGATGCAGCGCTTTCTTCTTCGAGACGGGTTATGACCATTTCTATTTCCTAAGCAAAATAATACACCAAYCAGTTAACAGTTTAATATGACGACACATCTGGAAGCTTTCAATAAATAACTCAAYAATCARTGTCTGTTTGCAAAAAAAACTGTTTAGCCCTACTCTACGGACTAACGATGACCGTTTTCGGATATTTTTCAAGGACACGCTTTCTACACGTTTTAAAAAACGACGGTTGTWTCGCGTAAACGCAAATAAGAATATTCTTCACTTTCACTTTATTACATAGGTTCCAATTTATGCCGTTTCTAAAATATCCRAATACTGAGCAAAAACCGTCGTAGCAATGAAGAATACAGTCAAGGGGCAAGTTTGAGGAAGCGAATCTCCGCTGGATAGGTAATTATTTTCAATTAATTAATTAATTCTCGTACCCAGATCCTTTTCCGCCTCCCAATGGAAAATCGACGGCTTTTGTTGGAGATGAATGATTTGATGGGTTCATAAATTCCATGCGCCTGGTTCTTCCGTCACTTCGTCTCCAACCAGAGCCTTTGATTTTTCGTAGGAAAACTGAGAAAAGTCTGGGTATTAAATAAGTTATTTCAGCTCATTTTGAGCTAGTATATACTATATAGGATTCTGTTTTTATAGTCCAATAAAGAAATGTCTGATATATTCGAACAATATTGCATCTGCCTCTGCTCTTCCATCGTTTAATTTAACATAAATAATTCCTACCCTATCCCTTGCTTCTCTGACACCTTCTTTGAGTTCTCGTTCTTTGCTAAGTAAGATGGTATCCTGAAATATGATAATATTGCATTAATTGAAGAAGAAAATCTCGTAAGGTGTGCTGGTTGACGATGTCTCTCGTGCTAAATGAATAAATGTTACCTTAACCCTTYAACTCCCAATGGTAGATATTTCGGCCATAATCGACCACTCTTTTTWAAAAAAAATTCCCTTTTCTTTGTTTAGTGGCAAAGGTGCTAACAAATGTATTGATTGTGTTGAASGAGCTGTTCGTTATTCAAAGACACAAGCAAAAACTTAGCAGGCATCCCTCGAGAGTTTGAATGTTTGGCTATGTAAATCGGCATCAGTTGCCTTGACAACCATGAATTCGGTGCTGAAATCGTTCATTGAAGCTTTTCACTTTTAARGCGGTTAAAAATTCCCCAGAATTTTGGGAATTAAAGGGTTAATCAATTGTTACCATCCGTGTATTAAACGGTGACCTTGATCAATAGTATGACGCAATTATCAGATCTTGAAGACCTCACCTGTTTTTTCATGTAGTTCTCAATCCACGCTTCTTTCTCAACATCGAGTCTTTCTTTCAATTCTCTCACTTCAAACTATAACGAGCCATWAACTGTCCATTAGTTTTATAATTTTAAAATTTTTGAGACGCTCGCTCTCATTAGCTACTACCGTTGAGATTAATAGTATTATCCAAATAATATAAAACTTTGCAGCCACAAGGCTGAATCTTCACTTAAACTGTGACTTTCGACAAACAAATAAACAAATCATTTCACAATTCATAATATTAACTATAAATTAAATTTTTCTAAATTTCAAAATTAATTTTCCCCGCACCAATAAACTGTATCAATTATCTGCAGGYAGCTTGTGAGGTTGATTGTCCGTGAATTTAGATTCATTTTCATCCGTCTGTGAAATAGGAATTGCACTATTAAATACTATTACCCCCTATTAGTTCCCAACAGTTTAACTCATGACATGCGACAAACTTATTAGGCAAACACGGTTTTGATTTTGCCTTTTGGTGGCCTACTAAACCCTAATAGTTACTATTAAACACTGACTAGTAGTAATTGTTTCACAGACGGATGAAAATGACTCTAGCTAGTCCTGCTTTAACATGTTTGGCTAAACCAGTTATATAAAGGGGGTATTAAAATGGCACCCTTCTGCCAAGAGGTACTTTAAAAGTGGGAGTTTTTACTGTGCCACATCCAAAACATACATTTATAACAAACGGGTCACCAAATACACCTTTTCAGTTGCTCTTAGGCCTCGACAGCGTGTTAAATATTCTTATGAATTTGTAGGAATACGAGCAATGCAAACATTGATATGAATAGTCTCATTTGTCAAATTCAAAAGAATAATGAACTTGCTATCGAGGCCTAAGTGCAACTGAAAAGGTGTATTGAATTGTGATAGGTATAACTATCTCTTGATAGGTAATTTTTTCTAATTGTTCCACACATGAATGATTTCGATGAGCATSAACGACGTACCTCGTGCTTTGCTTCCAAGTCAGACATTGCTTTTTCGTGTGAACGCTCCACTTCACTGAGAGCTTTTTTATGAGACTCCTGAAATACATGAACAATTTCAAACAATTGAAACAAAAATATAGGAAAACGCGAGGAAACTGAATGGAAAATAGAAAAAGAGAATATCACGAGATGGAACGTAATATGGATGGACTATAGCACGTACAGTTAGCCCGGCAAAGTGAGAAATGTTTGATTGCCTAATCGTCGTTGTCACTTTTGCTGTCATTATCGTCGTTGTAGATACTCTTGTTGCCGTCGTTGTTTTTCTGGGCAATAACTAATCAGTTTTGTACTGCGCCCTCAAGTTTAACAATATCGCCTAATGTTTGATGATCAACCATAGAATATTGAATCATTCTACATTTTTCATTTGGCCTTAGCACAATATTCTCACTCAACCGTCCCTTGCACTGAACGTCCTAGACAACACCACTCACGGATAGTTTTTGGCAGAGGAAGAAAAAGAGTAGAATTGGAGAAATCAGAGTTAGCAACTAGAACTAGAGTTAGTCTAGAACTTACTTGTAAACTAGCAATAGCTTCGTCCATCTCTTGTCGGTGTTTGTGCGCTTGTGTTGCAACTCTTTTTTTCTCGTCTTGAACTTCTGAATAAAGTCTTCGTCTCTGTTGTTGATAAGCTTGCTCTTCTTGCTCAAGCTGTTTCTCAAATCTATTTGATGTGAATTTCTCATTGTCAACCAGAGAACAGAGCAAACTTTTTGCCATTTTCAGTAATGCCGTATTGATTATTATCGATTTTTAACACTACATCGGACATTTTTTTTTATTGAGAACATCAAATTCTTAACAGCAACATTGTTTCTTTGAATTTATTTATTTTTGTTTGTTTGTTTGTTTTTGTTAGCAATATTCACTTTAATATTCCTTTTTTTATATAAAACTTCGAATCAGGAAAGAAAGCAATATTTGTATTAAGGCTGATAATACAATTCCCACCTTTGTTGAGCGAGTTCTCTTTCTTTGGTAACAGCATTGTCCTTTTCTCGGTCGAGTTGTTCACGTAAGTCTTCAATCTGTTGAATGTATCGTCTCCCAGCGCGTTCGTCCGCCTCAAGTAGCTCAGCCTAAACAATGATAAAAGAATATGGTTGTAGACATTCAACTCGTAAAGTGTATTAACCTTCGATGCTACGGGATAAAAATAGTTGTCCACTTTCCTTTGAGAAATCCATTATCCCCCCTCCCCCCTGTTGTCCATGGATGTCATTTGTCTTTTTTTCACTATAGCATACAGACCTGATGAGATGACCTGAGTTTCTTCAACTCGGCTTTGTGCTTTGCGATAAGCTTTTGGATGTCAGGCTCCAAACCTTTTACAGTTACTTCCTGAAACGAAGACAGAGTTACTATCGCCTTGCCATAAAAAGACATAAGCAGTTTATTATGCCAGATCACTCCTCTAAGTTATTATAGTGGATTTGCTCATAGTTTGTATGGGAAAATTCCCCTCTATTAATTATGATTTGCTTCACCTTAATCTGTTGTGTCTTTTCTGTTATCCATTTTTCTCGCCGAAGTTTCTCAGCAGCCACAATTACTTCCTTTTGTTTTTTCATTTCCACCTCGTGACTGAGGAACAAAGTAGAATTACAATGTTTTTACATTGTTTGTTATTTTATTGTGGTTTTATGTTTGTTATTTTATCTTTATTTTAGCGTGTCTGGTCTTGTGTTTATTGTTATGCTTATGTTAATGTCTTATGACGCCTGCTTCACTTCATTACATGTTAAAAATGAATAAATACTTGGTTTACGTCTACAATCCTGGACAAAAAGGTTGAGAATAACTGCACCCTCCCGGTCAGTTCAACAAAACATGCTCTCTACCCCCTCCCCTCCCCCAAAACAATGTTGTTAGCACTCAGACAGAATCAAGCAGGTATGTGTGCTCTGTAAAGTACAACTTTGAGCGAGGGGGGGGGGGGGGGGGGGGGGGGGGTGGGGAGAGGTCAGAAAAAATTAAAAAGTATACAGAAACATTCCAACATTCAGCGATTTTTAAAACTGTTTTTGTCCAGGATTGTAGATACTGGGAGTCGTTACCGTGTCTCTCTAGCCAGTGACTTCTGTTATCAGACTCGCTCGCACTCATGAGCACTACGTTGAATGGTTTTAGCACACAACACTCCTACTTTGTCCCTTCTTTTGTTCTCGCCTTATGTCTATATTTATATCCCAGTGAAAACCAGGCTTTACAACACAATACAATGAGTAAACATACTTTTCTTCAAGCAACTTTATCTTATCAGTAAATTTCTTGTCGACTGTCTTTAGCTTGCCAAGGAGTTCTTCGCATCTTTCTCCAAGTATTTTCTTGTCATCGATCAGTTGATCTATGAACGTCAGGTGTCTTTGTATCGTCGCTTCGTATTCTTGTTTTTGAATGGCGAGTCTTTGCTGAGCATCTTTATCAGCTTCTTTGCTTTGACGCAGGGTAAAATCACGTTGCTGGTTCTTAAAATATGAGGTAGTTTTGTACACAGTCATTTGATGAAATTATGAATGCTAAGGCCTGGGTCAAACTCCGAACTTTTCAATTCGTAGAACTTAAATAATAAATAAYAATAAATAATTTATTTTTTTAAACAATTGGAAAAAACACCTATTTAGGATGAATAGTGCATGGATATATACTGATATTAATTTCCCCTTTCCAATTTCTTTTGGAATTCAATTTCGCTTTAATTAAAACTTCAGCTAATGTGCGTTGTTATTGGTGTGCCAGGAAATAAAATCATCTTACCAATGCCCTCTGCAAAAGTTCATTAGTTCTTTTCTTCTCTTCCAGTTCAATCTTGATTGACATGACTTGGTTGGTCACTTCAGCTGCACTAGCTGATGCCATTTCCAGATAGGCCTTGTCTTGCTTTGCTATTTCTGCTTTGGCCTCTTCCCTCCTGGAAAAAAGGCTTTTGTGAATAGCAAATACTTTGTACATAATGTAATAAAAAGGAATAATTAAAAAAAAAGAAATCACTCAGGCTGCATAAAACCATTTTTTGATACGAAATCTCTGGGCTCGAGTGGACGGGGCCAAAGTCTGTTAGAATCAACGTATACAACAGTATGACGCATATTACGAATAGAGGATAGACAAAACAATACTTTGTGTGAGTGTTAGAGCACCAGCTAAAGTGAAGCTACTATATCATAGTTTAGAAAAAAAGAATGCATTTCATAGAATTTTACAGGAATAAATGTAACGTACTCTTTATCAACAGTCACACTTGCATTCGGTGATGGTAGCCCTCTTGAGATCGACCCTTCCCTGGACTAAAACATGAAAAAAGTTTAGTTATTGACAACACAGGGAGGCGCAGAACAAACGAGAAGTCACATAACGAAATTCAGAAGCAATGTTTGGGATTTGGGGAAGTTCAGAAGACCTGTTTGGGGTTGGGGAAGTTCAGAATCCGTGTTGGGGTACAGGGATTGAGGAGCTGTTAATAATTTAAAGGGATGATAATCCCTATTCGTAATTTTAAACCCAAAACAGRGCCTCAGCTGAGTAAAATTCCGTAGTGCTTTTATTAACCGCCTCACGTCAAAGTTTATAATTTTCCAGGAGCTAGGGCTTACCRCGACCAAWATTAGATGAATTAGCGTGGTTTATCCGTGAAATAAAGCATTCTGGATAATAAATACCACAAAAGGCCATAAAAATTACGAGCGTAACGAACAACAATATTACCCGGGGGGTACTCCCTAATAAAAAAGGACTCCCTAATAAAAAAGGACCGTCCCTTTTAGGGTTTGAAAACAGTGTTTTGGTCCCGCTTAAGGTGATAATGACGAGAATTCTCACGAACTGAGTTTTTTGGTCCCTTTTAGGGTATACGACRACCCTAAGCCGACATTATAAGATCAACAACAACCACAACGTCGTCATAAACTCAATACGAGCCGACGGCGTTTAATGCTTGTGAAAAAACACATATAAAATCGGGAAACCAAAACAACAAAATGACCTGTTATTGATTGTTCCCTCTTAGGGGTGAAATTTCAGCACTGCCACGCCCATCATCTCACAATACAGGTGTGCTTTCCATTTAGGTAGAACTGGCCGACCAGTCCGCTCTATTTAGAGGTATATTATGCTTTTTGTCAACATTTTTTAGTAATTTCGAGTTTTTTTTATAGAATAATGGATAGAATTTGAAAATTTGAATTTCCCAACTAMATTGGAATGATATATAATGAMATTTTCTCTGGGTCTGGCCAGCCAGTTCTGACAAATGGAAAGCGCCCAAGGTCTCTTTTAGGTGTKATTTTYAGAAATTCCGACGAGGACCCCGTCCTCTTTTATAAGGAAGTCCCCCCTGGGCAATATTACTGTATTGGGATATGGTTGATGATGGTTGKTKATCTGCCTGTAGCGAATACCTGATGGATTTCTTTCAAMACAACTTCTTCGGCTTTTTCCACTTCATCCAAGAAATTAATGATGTTTCTGTAGAAAAACAGGAAATATAACAGTCRAATAAATAATGAAAAATGGCATTGAAGTCTGAAATGAGTAAGGTACATGATTGTACAATGCATTTATAAAAAAAGATATCGACTAGATATTCAATCATCATAACACCTCTAATATTTAAGTATTCTTACTGTAATTTTTCTGCAGAGAGTGCTGTACTTGTTGTTCTGAAAGAAATGCAAGTACAAAAAGAAAACAAAATAAACAAAAAAAAAACAATTGTCATTATAACAACCGCAAAGTTTGATGCGTTACAACCGAACAATAGAAACAAGGTTTGATGCGTTACAACCGAACAATAGAAACAAGGTTTGATGCGTTACAACCGAACAAAAGCGCAAAGTTTGATGCGTTACAACCGAACGAACAATAGCACAAAGTTTGATGCGTTACATCCGAACAATAGCGCAAAGTTTGATGCGTTACAACCACAAAAATGGGAAAACGTTTGATGAGTTGTAAACTAACAATAGGACAAATGGTGGAAAATAGCGGTAAACTTGTGTGAACTGCGTCCGTGTTTATAACAATAGTGAAAGTTTGATGTTTCAACTGAACAATAGCACAAAGTTGGCTAGGTCGATATATTACAACCGATGATTAGGATAAAATTGAAATGCATTACTTACGAGTCGGTTTCTTGTGGATTAAGTTGGTCAAGATTCTCTGCTGAGAGGTAAGGCTGAAAGGAAAGGGACATTATGTTGAATCAACACGGTGATGATAAATATTAGTAAAGGTTGAAAAAGAGAGCTGATTTACTATGGCGTTTTCAATTCCGACTCCGAAAGTTTTAAATTTCACCTCTTATATACACATACATCAGTCAACTGAAACTCCGTYCTCCAAACCCCGGGGAGGGGCGGGTAATTAATACTTTATAGCCGGGAATTTAATGGGAGGCGGGGGGAATTAACGTCTTCATCAAAGAAAATAATCTGTTTAGCCACCGTCTATCTTCAAGAGACGAGAAAAGCCTGGACTTTTAGCATTGTTGAAAAGTTAATTGTCTGGGGGTTGTACGCAGTGCTGTAGTTTTATTTGTTTGATACCTGATGGTTTTTATCCACTACAGTTTCCATTCCTTGTCCTGCTAAAAAAAGACAAAAAATTTTTTTAATGCATTCTCAGTTGGTGAACCTACTGGGAACATATTATGGTCACCATYGAAAATGAGTGAAAAATTAAGGATTTTTAAAAAAAGCCGATCGTAATAGAGGCCACTAGTTCTGCGTAATGTCTTGCAGTTTCGTGTAATAATGCTCATCTCTTTTGAACTTAAGCTATCAATATCAGTATGCCATACTTTGAAGATTTTTTAAAAGTTTGATAATTACAGAAAGCCGACAAGAAAACGTGACCATCAAAGCAGACACAGTACAACAATAATGCAGATTGAAGTACAAAAAAAAACACCACATCTTCTTGGTTTGATAGCCAACATTCGATATTTCGACTGACTAACCACAACAAAAAGACTAGACACAGGGGAAATAATATACAGTGAGTGCTCGTCTCCCCGGAGCACGTCTTCAATACTCCAGCTTCGAGATCTTATTTGTGCAGCCTTACACCGTGTGTCAAAGAAGAAAATACAAATTTATGCTTGATTGAAGCTAAGCTTGCACAAAAGAGAATTCTTAACTAGAGTATTCTTTTTGTGCTCGACCATTCAACAAGAATTTCGAAAATGGAGTATTAGTTCTTACGACCGTACAAGTAMATGAACTGACGAACAATTGTGATAGCGATAAGTGGTACGTACCAATCCAACTATCGTATTTACTACTTGCACTAGACATCATTAGGCTATCACGAGGAGGATCATCTTCAAGTTGCTTCAATGATTCTAGAAGATCCTCAAACGTAGATTTCCCAGAGGTTCCCTGCTTGCTCTGAGCACTGCTACATAAAATACATTATTTAACAAATAGATCTCATTTTTCCGTGCGTGTGTACTCTAATAGATACACAGATGACGTCAAAATGTAGTGAGAACAAAAGAAATGCGCACGAGACGCAGTCGAGTGCGTGACTATTGTTCTCACTACATTTTGACGTCATCTGTGTATCTATTAGAGTACACACGCACGGAAAAATGAGATCTATCTGTTTTATACAACAAACAATTAGTTTTGACGTAATCCGTGTATCTATACTTTGATAACACACGAAAGCCAACCAATCAAAACGTCTGATTTTACTGAAAAGTTGTATAAACAGGTATAGTATTCTTTGTTTTCAATATACGTCACAGCGACCATCTTGGATGAACTTCAACAAAGGATTTCTCATTCATCTCATTTCTCTCACCCATCCAACATGGCCGCCAGTCTTTTATCTTTTGAATGTCATGGGAACGATTGAAAACAATGAATAAGAGCAATGGCGAGRAGGATKTATCATTTGGWGTTWTCAWTCCAACASCACGATAGGGATCTACTTATAGCTTACTTTTGRAGAGTGCTGTCAGTCCTGTCAGTTGACATTTCATCAGGGACCATGCTTTGTTTGGTTCTTGTATCATGCTGGTATAAGAAATACAGCTTTTCTACATCATTTCGCAAACTTCCATAGGTTACGCTAGCACATTCCCCGAGCTTCCCGCCAAAATTCAGCCTTTTAGTTCAAAACGAGGCTAGAGTTGTATCACCATGTTAATACGAATTCAAAGCGAGAAACCGCGGCTTTATGTGACAACAGATTCTCTTGCGCAAAGACCTTACCAAATACATAAAAGAGCACGAGAAAATGTCGTTAACACAATAGTCTTGAAGATTTGCATTTACCCGAGTTGAGACTAACCCTGTATTCCCAGTAGACCTAAGGTATGAGACTTCTGGGAATACAGGATTAGCCTCAACTCGGAGAAATTGTAAATTGTTAGCGCCCTTGTACTTGCGCAAGAGAATCTGCTATCAAACAGCGGTTATTCACTTTGAATTCGAAAATGGAGTATTCTGTCTTCCTACAAAATCACTTTGCGTCTCGTGTGAGACTTCATCCCGTGTATTATCTGGCAGTATCACCATAAAAATGCATAAGTGCACGTGTTCATCTTGTTAAATAGTGTTTGAATCATCACATGTTGAGAAGTTACATGTATGTGCTTTGTGGTTAGTTGTGGTTGGTTGTCTTACAATAAAACTTTTCAAATCTGATCCATGCAAGGTTATTACCAAAATTTACACTTGTAATTGTAGCAATCGATCATTGGAAAAGTGCAAAAATGTCTAGTTTAGAAGACAAAGATTCACCAAAGATGAAACTTCTATATCTGCAATCATCCAGTTTCGAATTATCCAATGCTCTGTGTTAGCCTCATTTGAGCGCAAAATAGTCCTAATAAAAATGTGAGGTTTCAAATCAATGTCTTCTTTTCAAATTCCATGAGTTTTCTCGGCCTATCAATGAAACAAAAGAATATTTTGCTTGGTTTCAAGGCTAACACAGAGCAAAACAAAACTCGAAAATGGAGTATACGTAGAACAAATAAATGGAGGCATAATGAGATTTTCTCAAGCTATTCGTATTGACAAGTTGCTGAACAATTCTGATAAATAATCATCACAAGGTAGGCAGAAAGACGAAACTCTACATATAAATATTTCGATGTACATATAAACAAGTAAGTCAACGAGGTTGAAGAGGAAGATGAAGTTTTAAAAGACTGAATTTCGGAGGGAAATTTCGGTTTGGTCATGAAATAACATGTTTGATATCAATGTTTATGCTTTACCTGAAACATCTCTTCAAGTTGACGCGCTGTGCTACTCCCAGTAGCAGGCCTGCTGCTTTCCGTTGCATTTTCTTTTCTAATTTCCCCCGTGTTCAAGTCTTTTTGCTTGTTATTTGTTTTACTGGATAATTTTGGTCTTACGGCTGGCTTTGTATTACTCTTTTTCTTGGTTATTACACCAGATGATTGAAGAAATTTCTAATAAAGCAAGATGCAGAAGCTTAAACACCAAAGTAAAAATTGAAATCAAACGAGATCCATTTAATGCTATTTTACTAATCCTACAAGTGCATCGGATACACAGATGATGTCAAAATGTAGTGATAACAAAAAAGAGTCAGAACGCTGTAAGAACGTTGTAATACAACAAATATATATTACAAACATGASTGATATCTATYATAAATAACTTACAATTTCYTCTTCTGCTTTTCTTGCATTCTCTACTTTTTTAGCTTCTCTTTTATTCTGAAGGTCTTTTATTGCTGCCTGCCTAGCAAGCCTTGCTTTTTCTTCTCTATTTTTGGCTCTTTCTAACTCTTTATTCTCAAAGTCCTACAACACATCAAAAACGTCAAAAGCCTTATTACGGGAAATATTTTTAAATCTCAGGGTTAACATTTCCAACCCGTCAATATGGAAAGCTTTTAATGTCCCTTCAATGGCCGGAATGATGATCCATAATGATGATCCACAATGATGGGAATGATTAAAGATCATTCTTAGAAACGATTCTGAAATAAGATACTCAGTGAGCTACTACTGAAACAACAATGTCCATTGTGAGTTGACCAGTCAGTGCAATACAGACAGTGAATAATCAACCATTACCCAATCAGACGACAGTGTTGCTGATTGTCTATTTAATTTGTGATTGGCTTGTTTACAGAACCTTGAACACTTGGGCTCAAGGCTAAAAATGGTAAATGACACTGATTTTTCAAAGTAAACCCAATAGTTTCCTGCACATTTCCCTGAACCATCTTGAAAGGTAGCTGTGCCTTTGCAGTGGAGGGACATGCAAATATAGAAACCTTCTTTCATAACTCCAGTCAATTATCCAAAGGTATCTATCATTGCATGCTAATAATTGTATATTTTCGATACAACAGTTATTTAACTTTCAAAGTTAACATAGTAGTCTCTTTGAGAATCACTGGACCATCTTGAACAGTAGCTGTGCCTTTGTGTTGGAGTAAGACAACTTTTTAACATGCAAACATAGAAACCTTCTTTCATAACTACAGTCAATTATCCAAAGGTATCTATTGATGCATGCTAATAATTGTATCTTTTCGATACAACAGTTATTTAACTTTCAAAGTTAACATAGTAGTCTCTTTGACAATCACTGGACCATCTTGTACAGTAGCTGTGCCTTTGTGTTGGAGTAAGACAGTAGCTGTGCCTTTGTGTTGGAGTAAGACAACTTTTTAACATGCAAATATAGAATCCTTCTTTCATAACTACAGTCAATTATTCAAAGGTATCTATCATTGCATGCTCAATGATCTCTTTTTGTACAATGGCTACCTTTCAAGATAACAAAGGGAACCGTGAAGGATTTCAATTTTAGTTACAGTACATGTACGATCACATAATACAAACCATTGAKCCAAGATGATTYAGGGAAAGTCTCTCTGCTGCCTGTTTTCGCTGTCCCAGAATTTCCTTAACAGCTGACTTTCCTGTTTTTCTTCTAACGTTCCARCCTCKGTACCATTTCTGTATCACWACTGCAGCATTGTTCTGAGCCTTGATTGCAGTSAGCTTATTATTGTCAAAGCTRTCACTCAGTCTGAGTTTGGGGACTGGACTTTGTTTGGTCTCYCGTTCTCCAGATGAGTTACCTATTGCAAATAATTATTAAATTAACACTTACAGAAATAATACAGTCTAGCTATCATAACAAGTCAACAAACATTTATCAAGAGCGTCGAGAATGTGACAATATTTGCCACAATTTCTAACAATTTATATATATATATATTTTTTTTACTTTTTCTTTCTTTTACTATTAAAGTCTAGACATGTTTTGGCTTATTAGTCTGGACAAACATAAGTCAAAGGTTACATGGATTTATTTGTCATTTGTTAGAAGTGTTGTTTTTCTATATTTTGCTTTGTTTAGAGGTCTACAATGAGACGTTTCCATGTACTACACCGTACAGAGAATATTTGTCAGACATGCACACTGTACCTTTGCTATCTAGTTTCTCTTCATTACCAGGAGAATTCAACATTTCATTCAGGACATCAACAATATGGTCGTTTGGACTGTAGGTCTGTGCATTTGAAGCTGCTACATCAGTACTGTTTGTAAACCAATTCACTGGTTTGTTGTCTGTTGGGGAGCCCAGGTCATGTAGAAGGGGTACTTTAGGGACATGGTTGGAACCTGGCCACCAATCCTCAAGGTCTGCTTCTGATTGGTGTTCCTTCCTATGAGATGAACRAGGTGATGGCTTGTTCTGCACAAAAAGAAAGAAATCATATAGTATGACTTATTTACASTCAAATAGAAAAATTAATTTACTTTGACACAAATGTACAAACAAACAGATGAATAATTCAAGGAAGGAGACAAATACAATTATAATATTCATGCACAAACAATTATCATAAAAAAGTGAAATTATAATAAAAAATATATATTCAATGGAAAAACAAATTAATGAAAGATCGAATCACAAAGCTGTGACTGKGTGGAATTATTTCATGAATGAGTAACAATGAAATAGTAATATTTCAACCATTTTTTGATGACAAACTGGAGGTTTTACTCATTTGAAAATGTGAAGCTTTGATCAAATTTGCACAGGAAATTACACTTAGCAAACAGATTTAACTTATGAGTGGTTATTGAACAATAAACAATCACAAAATATTCTAGGTGTTCATRGTTTTGCAAATCATACTTAAAATGATAAGAGAATAAACAAAGAAAACAAAAATACACAATGAATGCAAAAATAAAAATCAAATGAATGGAAATTTTACTCACTACAGTTAACAATAAAAATGAMAATAGAGGATGAAAATACTGTACCTTAAATGACAAAGCTAATTCTTTTTTTCTTGACAATTTATTTTCTGGGAATCTAGAATATTGTCAAAACAAATTATGAGTTTTAAAATATCATTGTGTCATCATTTTACTAAAAAAAATAGGATTGCTTTAGTGTATTTTACTTGTTAATTAGATTTTTATTCCCTTTGGAGATTAGCAAAACAATCCCTGGGTTATACAAAAYGAAAGAGATTAGTCTGGGCAGTCGAGCCAGTCCACTTCATATAATGTATAATCAGGCCCTGAACAGACTTTTCCTCATGCAGTAATACAAAAGAYTTTTCCTGGAATCAATGAGTAGCTAATTTCACTTTAGAGATCTCCATAAACTGGTCTGACATTTTTAAAATCATCTACATGCATGTATAGAATCTTTGTTTTCTCAGTGTTTAGATAAAACAACTAGCATGATCTGCTAAATACTATAACAGCTGCAACAATACTATTTTTAAAAAGGCTAAAAATAAGAAATTTTATTCTACTATTAACTTTATGGCTACTGTTCCTAAGTAAACACAGCTGTACATAGGGGGACAGGGGTTTGGGGGTGAAAGAGATATAGGTGTGTTGGAAACCTGGAATCTGGAAATCCCTGAAGAAAMATTTTTCAAATCTGTAAGAAACATCACCTAAATCTACCTGTTCCTCAAACTGAGTGATCTGCAGCCCCACAATTATAATGATAAGAATACAGAAAAWAATCAGAAAATATAGTCGAATCTCACTATCTAAAAAGCCCCATGTCCCCTTGCCTCCAAAGCATCTGTTTCCAGTAGTTTGCTAAAGCTACCCYTCTACATGTACAACATGTACTTTGCATATGTACACTTTGTAATACATGATTGTATGTCTGGAGCACTGTTGCATAGCCTATCAAGCAATCACAGTCTTTATATTTCAGATAGTATATCATACCTTAAATTATCCTCAGAGTTGATATCATACTGCTTATGGTGCTTATGTCTTGCTTGAGCACTGTCACTACTAGCATCCCCTGATACTAGAGGACTTGAATGACTGGAACGTGCATGGGTATCTATTCAAAACATTGAAAAAAAAGCAGATGAGTTACATGACTGAGTGTATGAACTTACATGTACTATAATTTACAATCACTGCCATTTGCACTTCTGCCCGATACGGCAAGACCAAATATTAGTTATATTAATATTACCTGATTTTCTGTAMGTTTTCTTTGCAATTTTACTTGTACCAGTAACTGACAGCTCACTAAAGTCAGACTCCTACAAAGCATACAAGCTTGTTACAAGCCAAATAAAATATCAAAAAAAATATTTTATTTTATTTTCATTGTTTCAAAATGCAGGACCATGAAGATTGGTCCATGGCTGTACTGCATTTCAAAACCCAAAGAAATAATTGAGAGACTGACATAGCTACACTTTTGTTTTTCGTTTTTTTTCCCAGGGGGGGGTGTGGGTGGGGGTGTGCCGCTGGGACATCAAAACCCTGATCCTGTTCCAGAGTGAAACCGCTGAAAACTATACCCTGTTCCAGAGTAAAATAGCTGAAAACGATAACCTGTTCCAAAGTAAAGTCGCTAGAAATGATACCCAGTTCCAGAGTAAAATTGCTGAAAACGATACCCTGGTTGGCAGCACGTCCCCGTATAGCGAATATAGGGGAGTACCCCCCGACCCCAGGGTTTTTTTTTATTTCATTATTTCATTATTTTGTATTTTTGTTTTTTCTTTGTGTCGTAGTGGTTCTCTCAACATCTCTGTGCACTACTGATGGACATGTATAAGTTTCCCCAAAGATCAAGTTGTACAAATTGTAGAATTAGACACTTTGCAAGCTTTGTCTATATAAATATATTTCATAACCTTAATTAAAGCTTTTCAACGCAAAGTAGCCTGATGAATTTGAAACAAGAAAAAAAATTTASAGTACGAAAAAATAAAGACTTCTGCTGAAACACAAAGTAACTTTGAAKTATAAATAAGCTTAGCTGTCTTTGTTGACAGTCGGTTTCAAGACATTGTTTATAGAAGTTCAACAACTTTGCAGTGATGAATACCAAATCATAAGTACAGTTAAAAATACAAAATAGCAGAAAGATTTGTTAGACTAATCTMATTCAAAAGAATAAGCACTTCAACCTACAACACTGGCATTTGAGCGCGATGAAATGGCTCCTTTGCTGCTTTTGGTTCTTCCTTTTGCTGAAGAAGGTCGAAGGGCTCCTGGTTTAGTTCCACTCGAATTTCCTCTTCTAGAGCTCATTTTTAGTGACTTGAAGAAAAAATGTCGYCAGTTTATAACCTCACTGGGATATTTGCACTTTTTCAAATGGAAAAGGATAAGAAAAAGTATGTRTTTTCTTCTTTGAACRCCATTGCAGTTGCTCGGTAGCGAGCGCGCGAATACCTCGCCACAGGGACTCCAAATAATATAATACTGAAGATAGAAAAAAAATAATAATATGTATAAACCATATTGTTGTAATCTTTATTTCATACCATCTACACTAYTTGTATTTTTCAAAGTGATAGTTGACCATGGTAAATAATTTTATATGCTTTTGAAAATAAGTTTTTCAYAAACTGGAGATTATGTTGGGGCTCCTGTGTAAACCCAGGAAGCCCAACTGKTCCGCTTTTGTAATGAAATGGCGTCGTTAGYRKAGGGCTTACAAGATTTTTAATGGTTATTACTAGCGATTGCATCTTATGAAAGCTGAAATATCAACTTAAAATTTTTAATACGACACAGCTGTTTCTTCTCCGGGCTTTGAATGTTTCTGTAAGTCTCATTAGACAAAATAATTATAAAAACTATATGTGGATATAACAGCCAAGATGGCGGCTAATCGACAACCCGTTGCTAAGGGAGGTATTTGGAGCACACAGACGGCTCCTGTAAGTCAAGAGACACAGCAACTGTTGAAAGGTAACTTTTCAGAAGTAGTCTCATCTTATGATAGTAGAACTTACGATAAAAGACATGATCAGGAATGGTACCARCCGCAAAAGAGCTCGAGGATCCAGACCAAAACAATGTAAACTTAGTTAAGTTCTTATTAAGCTTACTTCCTTTTTTGCAGTGATGATGGAAGAATCAAAGTTGACCAATTTTCAGAGAAGACAACTGAATGATAAACTGACAAGTAAGCTAACATGTACATACTTGTAATCAGTTACATTGCTGTAAGTTAAACATAAATTTAAGCTTACGAACGAGCATCATCATCATGACCATGATTGATATCATAATCAATCTTAATACCATAAAATTATTGTAAAAGATGAAACCACGCTATGAAAATAAACTAAAGCACCATATACTGGTCACGATTGAATTCATTGGTGCTTCCAAAAATATTGTGGATGTGCACAAGGAGGATATAATATTTTCAAGAAAAAATAAGTGAGCCAGCAAGCTTTTAAAAAAACTTTACCTGAAAATACCTTTGAATTCATGGGCAGCTGCCTGTGACATATTCTTGAAGTCACTCACGCATCTTGAAGTCATCCCTGTGGAACACTGTTGACAATATTTTTACTTCTCTGCTATCCTCTTGGTGTTTATAATGTATATTTTGAAAGTTGACTGTGTTGTTTCTGACGTGTTATGATAGAGGGTCAACCATTGCCATCTTCAGTTAATCCTACCACCAGTCGACCGCAACAGCCTCGAAAGTCTTCTCCTACTGCTGCAAAGCAACTCCCTAAAGTGATGAACGCAAGACATTTGGGACCAGCAGGAAAAAGAAGAAAAGACCAAATTGAACAATTGCAGGAGTCCAATAAGGATGCCAAGTTTGTTCCAACACCAGGAAGTATGCTTTCTGAAGTCCATTCTCTTACCCTGACTCTTCTCAGTTTCCTTAAAGGGAAAAAGGCTCTGGTTGAAGACAATAATGAAAGATACAGGACATTATGCATGCTGATGGCTCCACCCAGAGACTTTGATTTTCTGATGGGGAACTGAGAAAAGACGTTGCTAGGAGAATGATTGATGTCTTCACAATGCTGTACATACTTGCACTCATCAGATTTATTTATTACGATCTTTTGTCCTTATCAGAACATATAACAGCCAATGATAAAAGACGATTACAAAATGTAATGGCCTATGGAGAATATGGAAAAAATATCAACCTTAACCCCAAAGAACGAAAAGAAAAGAAACAAGCACCACCCCCAAAACAAGAAGCAGATCGCTTTGATGAAGGTCAGTGTAATACATGTATTTCGGCTATCATTGGCAGTGGTGCACTCAAATTTTGCTATTTTGCTMTTACATTAAGTAGAGAACAGATTTTGCAAAATTCATCATTTTCATTGTTTGACATCAACACTTTTTTATTGAAAAATAGCAGGTTCACATATAATTTACACTGTCATAGTAAGGTGTTGTACTTTATATTTTATTTTGTAGTTCTCCAAGAGATTGAAGACAGGAAACAGTTCCTTGAGGAAATGGAGGGAGTTGGAAAAGGAGACCAGTACCGAACAATCATCAACACTGAGATATCCCAGGTACTTTGAGAACCAGTCCTTCTAGTAGAAYCTATCTTGTACAATCTTAATATTAAGTTAAGGAAACTCCCTTTTTCCCATCTGGATTTATAGGGGGTTATTATCTAATAAACCGGCTCAGCCGTCAGAAAATTTTTTTGCAATGTCTGTTATTTACAGCCAAAACAAATCTCCTTTGCAACAGCGAAGATTTGAAGTTCCCTATCAACCTTATCAATTATAACTTCATTCTACTACATGTTGATAAAAAAGTTGTTGAAAAAATTATATACAAATACATGTATAAATGACAGTGTTTGTAAAACATATTTGTACTAAGTCACAGAAAAAAATACATTGTCAAAATCTGGCAAGCAGACTTCAAAACTTTTGAGGTTGCGATACAAAGGTTTTTGCTGTAATATGATGTGACAAAACTGAAAATTTGTGGGGACTATTTTTGATATAAATTATATAATTGTATTYTTACAGAAAATAAGAGAATTAGAAGTCATTGACCAAAAACGCAGCAAAGAATTGGAAGAAATACTCYGTGAGGACCAAACATGAAAATTATGATTTGGAGATTATAATATAATTTATTTGCCTATAAATATKATCTCAAAAATATGCAATAACTCAATAATTATTGTACTAAGATAAAAACAGATTTTTTTCCCTGGGGAATTCAGGGTATGTTTAAATACACACCATGGTAACCATCACAAAAAGGACAAGAACTTCACTGACAAGGGTAAACATCAGGTGATGTGCAGAAGTTTCAGTAATAGATATAGCTACCGGTAGTATAGCATCGCCAATTTTATCTAAGTTTACCATTGGTTAGTTTGTGTCTTACTTAATAAATATGACTGTAAATATTGTTTGGGACAAGTATGCCTACTTCTTCACTCAAAAGTCGTTTATTCAAAAAGGTAATGAAATCCCTGGATGTGCCAGTGCAGACTACCCTGAGTGTTACACTGTATATCACTTTTTGTGTTTTAATAGCATTTCTGTGATCTACAGTAGTTTTTTGCATAAAACCAGTAAAAGGGTTGTGTATTACGGTTTGTTTAGTTTAAAATAGCTGCTAAACCAAACTCATGTCACATTCAGAAGTATATATAGTATTAAAAAGGTGTTTATTTCTTTCAATTTGTTAATATGTAATCTTAACACTAGGAAAATGGTAGAGGAAAATTAAACTTCCAAAATTGGACAGTCCAAGTCTAAGTATAAACCAATATAATCTTTGTATTATGTCAACTTTTG